CACTGCTAATGCAGTTAGCTATTTCTAACAGAACAACTAGGGGAAAGAATATGGAGGGAGCCACAATGAATTCCCTAGGAATACTCCCATAAATGGACATTCTGCTCAGTATTGTTACAATGGAGTTTCATAGCTTTACCTAGTTTGGGTCCGATGAAAATCTATTGATATTACTGAAAAGACATTGATTATAGATAATGTTGTAGGTACCTCCATATAGACTACTTACTCATAGAATGGGTTGATTGGCACAAATTAAAGGCAAATCTCCCATTCCTATTCCACACCTCAACCCTCTCAAGAGTCTTTATAAGATGATAATGCCCATCTTCTTTACTGATTGCTCTAGGATAGAAGGTAGACTTGCATTAGTGGACACTGTCATTCTATCTCTTATAGGGCCACTCTCTACAAAAGCCACATACCTGTTTCTTCTCCTGTCTCTAAGTCCCTCTGTCTTAATGAATCTCCTACTCACTTCCTACTTCTGTTCTGTGGAATACTCTCCTTTTATTAAGAAAGCTGAGATAATGGGCATGCCCTCAACAGACCTCTCAGAATTCCATGTCCATCCGCTTCCATAAGCTTAGTTTTATTTTTATTTTCTGATGATTCATTCCTCAGATACCCAATCCTCCTCTCTTCTAAGGATGGTTTTCCAGAGTTCCATCAGTACTATTCTTCAATATAAAAAATCATAGTGTAAGAACAATTTTAACCAGTAGCTACACAAGTAAACCATTAATTATTGCCATTTCTCTTGGGCCCATTTGTTATTTTTTATTTGTAAATGGAGAAATTATTAGAAAAAGGAAGAGACTCAATTTTAACTACATTCTGACTGTTTCTATGAGAGTTGGGTCCTCTGAAGACCTGTTGGTTTATTTTAGTGTGCCCAAATTCCTTTCTATGATATACATGATCAATTAAAAAAATGAGGTTAAGGCTAGCTAAAGAAATTCTTAAATGTTATCTGTCATCCAGTGCCAAAATCATTATACCATTAAATGTAAGAACATTGTATACTACCGTATGAATGGCCCAACTGTCCACTTTTATACCCCCATGTTAGTGTTCATTTGAGTTATGAATTGATCCACTGCCTACTTGGCTGACAGAACCCTTAGGCATTTTAGACTTCTTCACAGATAATCACCTTTTGATTAGATTAGTTATTATCAAATAGAATTCTCAGCAGCAAAATTTTTGAGCAAGAGAAGAATTTAGCCTTGGTCACTTTCAGTCAGAGGTGGAGATTAAGTAGATGTCTAAGATTATACCTCAGCTATTATAAAGGGAAAACAGGCAAGCTGAATTCTGCAGCCCATTCAAACTCGTAGACAAAAGCATTTTCTTCGTATTCCAGTCAGGTGCCAGCTAAACCTTTGCTTTATCAAACCTTTGCAATCCTCAACCTTAAATCCTCTGACCTACCATGAGTGTTTAATCTGGCTCCCAAGATTAAGATTCTCTAATAGGGCTGACCTATCATTTCACAGTCAAAAGATTATTTGTTCACTTGTGTACTTTGTGTTTTGTTCAGTTAACAAGGAAAACAGAGTTTTCCCAAATGATGTCATTTACCTGGCTCAAGGATCTAGTTGGCTTTAGATACTTAGGAGTAAAGGCTTCAGGCATCCTTCAATGTGCTTTATTGTTATGCTATAATCATTATTGTGTTTATTATTCAGTAAGTTATTGACTGAGTTCTAACAACATGTACAAGATAATTAAACACAATAAGCCCACACTGCCTATGTAGTAGACTCATAAACTGAATAAGTCACCATTTAGGATCAAAGTAAGACTGACAGGTATATTACCATATATACTCTCCAAACATATTTTGCTAGAGAAATAAAACAAACAAAACTCATTTGTGGAGACTATGAGGTTATCAGTGTTTCTTAGCTAACTCTATCAGATCCACAAATAGATACGCACAAAGCATGGGATAGGGTTGATGAAGAATTTTCTGAAGATGTAGTCTTAGTGAGTAAAAGGGCAATCTGACCCTTTTTCCCAGGAAGGTCAGGGGTGGGAAGACAGGGTCCATGAGAGGGTACTTCAGTGACCAGCAACTGGCCACTTGGAATGCCAGCCTGAGGCCAATTTCACCAAGTGGCAAATCAGGCTGATAGGGAACTAAAACAAGGATGCAGGTTCCCTCAGGGAAGAAAGCATGCCACATTCCTAAATGTTGGCCTCCTGATCCAAAGCCCCATATGCCTCATGTTATTTAAAGCTCTAATCTCCAGTGAACTTTTGGGAAATTCCTTTCTACTGATGGAATTGTTATTCTATCATAGTGGGTTAATACAGTGAAATGTTTAAACAGGAGCTAGCAAATGTAGCCTCTAGAGTCTCTTAAGGGTAAATAGATTCTCCTTTCTGATTTAAAGTAAAGTAAATGTGTTTCTTTGGGTTTATATTTTATGACTTTAAAAAGTCCCTTTTCTCCTTTAACTTGTACATGTTTTACATGATATCGAGTTTAATATTTTAAAGTGATACTGACTGGGTAAAAAAGTAAGAGGCTTAAAAAGAGAAATAAACTTTGCATCTCACAAGCTAAGCATATTAACAGAAATCCTACCATGAAAGTCTCAATTTTTCCCATTATTTTCTCTGTATATTCATGTATTTTTGTGTCATGACCAGTTTGGCCCCAGAAAGCCAGACCATTTTGGTCCATTTGCCCTTTCCTCTCATATTTTTCTTTTGATCTTGAATCATGGTCCAATGGATGGCATCTTATATAATTGCAGTAAGAAGTTTCCATCCAAATCAAACTTCCACCAACAAAAAAAAAGTAATTGAGACTAAACCATTAAACCAGATTACCCTAGCCTTTAGAAAGACATATTACTTATCTACTACCCAGACAAAAATCAGTTATCAATGAGGAAATTGTACGGTTTTGTGATTCTCTGCATCAAATCAAAATTAAACTTTTGCTATGGGGGGGTGGAAGACCAATGCTTCCCTCCTAATACTTCTGTTGTCATTCCCTCTTCCTCTGTTGTCTCAGTCTAAAATGAATAATTCACATTTTCCTATATCTTCTACTTTTTCAACTACCAGGAAGAATATTTAAGGAAAATCAATAAATTACCACTCAAACTATTGACTATAGGGAAGGAGGAAGATCAGTTGCTCAAGTTAGGCACAAATTTAAAAGTTATTTTCCCTTTATCCCCTTTAAGTAATAAAGAGCAAAGGACATTTAGGGAAGAAATGAGACAGAGCATGGAGGCTTGGTACCTTTCCATCCTCCTCACCTCCACCTTATTTTTTCATGTTAGGAAAGAGTGTCTTCACTCTTGTGTGAAGTGTTATGAATTTCCAGGATGTCAGATGTATTCATATTGTGAGGTTGTTTTTTTTAAGGTATTCCAAAGGGTTTGGAGAGCTGTCTGTGCTGTCTCTCTTCTCTATTGGCACAAATAATTGAGATAGCTATCTGTAGCATGATGTGGAATAGCAGTGATGATCAAAGTTGGATATGCTATTACAGCAGTTCTTACAGCAGGGTTCTGGGAGTACTTGAAGTGGGTCCATGAGGTCAAAATAATTTTCATAACAATACTAGTGTGCTTAAATTTCTACTACAATAAATATCCGTAGATATAATGTACATTTTTTAAAAAAGCACTTCAGAGAGGGTCCTTAATAATATTTAAGAGTGTAAAGGGATCCTGAGATCTAATTTGAAAATCACAGTGTTGTAGGATTACAGCATGTTTTTTGTTGTTGTTTTGTAGTAAGTTTTCTTGTATACATTTGGAACACTACTCATTTCTCTCAGATCTCTTTACTGTTTCACAGGTTTTAGGAATGAATGAAAATTTTTAAAAATGAATATACTAATTAAGCACTTACTACATGCAAAGCACTGTGCTAAGCCCTGGAGATTCAAATAGAAAAAGCAAGACAGTCTCTACTCTAAGGGAACTCAGAAACTAATTTTAGGAGGTAATACATAAAAGAAAGTTTGACTGTGGGGCAAATGATGAGGCTCAGGAGTCCTTATTTTGGTTGTAAGCACAGATCAGATAACAAGGCTTTGTGTCTGGAGGACATACAAGAAGTACATGGTAAGGACTGGAAGACCTTGGGATTAGCATTGTTAGGGAATATTTTAAGGTCTGTTGGTTCTTCATCTCACCAGAAAAAAAAAGAGTTGGTGGCATGCATTTATCTAAGTGTCCTGAATAGTCAAACTGCCTGTGGAGTCTAGCTAGTGGTACGTCAGGGGAGAAGAAGGGAAGGAAAAGGAGAAGGGTATTCCCAGAAGTGGTTGTTTTTCTCTGACCCTTGAAATGATAGTGTAAATTCCCTAAAAGAGACACCTTTAATCCCTAACCATCATAAAGACAATCAATCAAAAGACTTTCTCTTCATGGCCCACTCCCTTTCTTTTTCTTTCCTTCTGGTCTTGAGTAGAGGTTCCTAATATTTTGTGTGTGTGTTGTAGATCCCTTTAGCAATCTGTGAAATCCATAGGTCTTTCTTAGAATAATATTTGTAAGTGTAGAAAATGAAATACATAGAAGTGAAAAGGAAACCAATTAGATTGAAATATAGGTATAAATTTTTTTAAAAAAAATTGACCACATTTTGAGAATCCCTTGTTTGAATGATCATTGATGTCCCTATAACATTTTATGATCAATGATTCTGTTACTCATGATTCAGTCCAGAAAATGATAGAAGTACAAAAACCTATTATAATTAGGTGGAGCAGAGAGTTCTAGACTCAGCACCTGGAAGACTAGAGTTTGAACTCTGCTTTATATGCTTACCAGCTACATAGCCCTGGGCAGCTCACTTACCCTCTCATTTTCCTTATCTGTGTAATGGGGATAGTAATATCACCTAACCTACAGGGCTGTAGGAACTAAATGCAATAACATAGGCAAAGCATTTCACAAATTTTAAAGTGCTTTGTAAATGCTAGTTATTGTTGATGTTAGTATTGCTATAACTCTTAACTTTCTTCTGCAATTTATTCTAGGAATTTCTATTATATCACAATGCTGAGGGATCCAGTGTCCCGTTATCTGAGTGAATGGAAACATGTCCAGAGAGGGGCCACTTGGAAGACATCTCTTCACATGTGTGATGGGAGAAGCCCAACTCCAGATGAGCTGCCTACTTGCTACCCAGGAGATGACTGGTCTGGCGTCAGCTTAAGGGAATTTATGGATTGTGGCTATAACCTGGCCAACAATCGCCAGGTCCGTATGCTGGCAGATCTTAGCCTGGTGGGATGCTACAACTTGACTTTCATGAATGAGAGTGAGCGGAACATGATCTTGCTGCAGAGTGCCAAGAACAACCTGAAGAACATGGCCTTCTTTGGGCTCACAGAATTCCAGCGGAAAACTCAGTTCCTATTTGAGAGGACATTCAATCTCAAGTTCATCTCTCCTTTCACGCAGTTTAACATCACACGGGCCTCTAATGTGGAGATCAATGGAGGGGCCCGCCAACGCATTGAGGAGCTGAACTTCCTGGACATGCAACTTTATGAGTATGCAAAAGACCTTTTCCTACAACGCTACCACCACACCAAACAGCAGGAACACCAGAGGGACAGGCAGAAGAGGCGGGAGGAGCGGAGGCTGCAGAAGGAGCATCGGGCTCACAGGTGGCAGAAGGAGGATGAGACAGCAGTCACAGAGGACTATAACAGTCAAGTAGTCCGATGGTGACACCTTCTATTTCACCTCCCATGGGGGTAGGAGGACCATGGACAATGTTGTTATTTTGCTGAATCATCTAAGGGAGTGACAACAATGAGCCATGATTTCTAAATATACGAGACCTGATTCAAACATCTGCCCTCCCTTTGTCTTCTTTTCCCCTTAGCTTTTAACCAGCTGAAGGGGTAATTCCTCTTTTTTTCTTGACATTTTTCAGTCAATGATATCAAATAGGGTAGAATGATATCCCAAACAAACCACTCTGAAAGGCCCACACCAAGATGGGGAACTAAGAAGTCTGTTTTTGTCTCCTTTTCAGCCACACAGTAGAAGAAAGACATGAGAAGCCAGAGCCTGCAGTGGCATGAATGTGAAAACCAAGCTGGGGCTTGGGAGTTTGGTAGAAATTGGTCTGTTTTCACAATGCCTTTGTAATAGTATTATAGGACTATTTATAGGGATCAAGAAAGGAAGGGAGAGAAGGGGAAAAAAAACATTTGCAGGCTCTCAGTCAAAAAAGAAGAGAATGTCATCCACTGCTGTGTTGAATTCATGCTAGAGGATGAAACATGTGGGCCTTCCTTCACCTTTTCACTACGAATGGCCTGACTCTGGATGTATCTTAGAACACAAGCAAAAGGCAGTCACTGATGCACTAGTCTAACTGTGACCATCATCCTAGGCATAGGCCATATAAACTTCCCCATCATCTTTTTCTAAAATAAGGTCCTGTTAATTGACTGTGTATAGCCATTAAAAAGGATCATCATTAGTGATCTCTCACAGGTGGACTCCATTTTTTCTCTTAAAAGTTGAAAATGGAACTGAAAATAAATTATGAGGAAAATGATATGTCTAACCATGTTCTAAACTTACTAGTGAAGCATATTTATTGAACTAATATGTGTATTTTTCTGAGGAAATGGAAATAGATATCTTCCTTGGTAAAGCACTGCCCATAGGATTGAAATTCTGCTATGAAAATAAGACTGTAAGGTTTTGGCTTGGAACTTGATAAGGCAGCTAGCATGTGTGCAAGGTCATTGTTCTCAAGTTGTTCTATGAATAACACCGTATACTGGCTGCCCCAAATGAGTGCTGGATATGGGATAATTATTCCAGATTTTCAGTGAGACAGGACTTAATGGTGTCTCAAATATCTTCAGTCTAGTACATTTTTCTTCATTCTTAAACCTTTGATTGTTGTAGGAATAAACCTGTGATATAATATTTAACACATGCGACCACGGTATATCCAATTGGAAGTTAATGCTCCTCAGATGCTTCCCATTCTTCTTGATCTTCTACAAATGACATGAACAAAATAAGCTGGCAAATAAATGAAAACCCATGAGATTTGGGAGAGGAAATATCTGTAATGTTTTCTGTCATGTCATTGATTACATAGAAGGATATGGGTGCCATGAAAGATGAACTGAAAAGTTCCTACCAGAAGCATGACATGAACACAAGTAGGATCTGCAAAGCGAATTGATTTTTTTGGGGGTGATCAAACTTAAAATTCTGAAGGCAGCCAACTTTCATGAACCACCCTTCATCCTACTCTCAGAATAAGTCCTTTGGGTTGGAGAATCCATAAATCAACTAAGTAATTAGCTTGCATTAAGTGGCTAGTGAAAGCAAGTGTGTGTGCCATGTACTGAGGGAAGAAAGGAATTTATCTCCTTGACCAAGCACAGTCCATGTGGTTCTATCAAATATTTGATGGGGGTAGAAGGGTCAATAAGATTTCTGTACCATGACCCTCAATCTAGTCAGTAAGGCCATCATCCACAAGCAAAGGCTAGGATTAGAGCTGTATAAGTGGGTGATGGTGCCAGCACTGATAGCAGCCCTTCAGTATCTGGAGTGAGCCAGCTGCTCTTACCCAGTTGGGTTTGTTTCTTATCCATGAGGATGGTGCTTGTACCATGATGGTTTCATGATGTTTGATGGTTTCAGTCTCACTGTGGCCTGACACCTAACTCATGTTGGAAGTCACTCCCTCCCCACCCCATACACATATCCCTCCACCCCACCAAAAATGCCATTATGATGAATGACTTGGCAACTGTACTTTTGGAGCCATGAAGAGAAAATAAAAAGGAGTGACATAAATATGTCTCATTAGATGATAGAGATTAGTCTGACAAGAGATGAATCTGACAAGACATCAGTGTTTTCCATCCTGGTGATTTGTCTGTAAGATGGGAAGGAGAAATAAGGGGAAGGGAGAGAAGAGGGGGTTGAAGCTAGAATTAATGAGCAGATTTTTATATCTTCATTTTATTTTGCTGTGAATATGGTATGGTTTTGCCAAGACTGGCAGAGGTGCAAATTTTCCCTTCTGCCTGCTGTTGGGGGAACACACACAAGCGTGCATGCACATGAGCAGGAGAACAGGCCAGCATACACACACACACACACATACAACACACACATACTGCAATAATGATACAGCTTTATGTGATTTGGAAATTCAAAATAAATTAGAGAGCATTTGAATTTTTTTCCTCTTAAACTTGCCTTTAAAATATTGGCAGGGAATTTTAATGCATCTGTAAGTCGTCAACTACTAACATCATGCTGTTCCTAAGGCAGAGGGAATTTATATCCAAAGGCTTTCCCCAGCATCACTGCTGCTTGCTTGATATATGTCACTCCACTTGAGATGGGATATCACGCTATTCAGAAGGGCAGCCATCTATTTGGATTGGTCTAAGGCCAAGCCTAAGCAAATTAAACAGGCAGCTGTGGTCTTGTTCTGTTATATTCTTTCAACACAAAGCAACCTGTACATGGTTTCAAATCCCCCAGGTACTGAGGTGATACTATGGTGATATAAATTGAGAGGTGAGAAGGTGCATTCTTCACTGCAAACCAAATTTATACCTGCTACCTGAGTGGAAAGTTACCAAAGTAAGTCATCAGCCTTAAGATAAAAACACAAATCAATTCTAATTATGGCATTACACAAAGCCCAAGAAAAAAAAAAACAGAACCCCCCCCCACAAAAATAAAAGCAAACAAAAAACCTTAGGCAGTTCCAAATTGGATGAAATACAATCATATTCAGCTCTACCTTCACTACCCCTTTCCCTCTCTCTCTGTGGTACTTCTCTCCATAGCCTAACCATGCCATGAGTTTCCAAATGGTTTTATTAAGGTCAATAATATTTATGAAGTACCTCCTACATGTAAGGCACTAAGATATGTGAATCCCATTCTGTGTTCTTCAGACAAATGTTTGGCTAACTAAAGAGATCTGATGTGTTCCCTTTTCTTGATGAGAATATATAATTGGGGTATACTTGTCAATTTTTGATAAGGTCAATAATGTCCCCAAATAACAGCAAAATGCACACTGTCCATTCAGAAGTGAGGGGCTTTGCTGTTTAGTGTAACCTTGTGTGTTTCATCTGCTTTCACTAAAGTACTGAGACTTGGGGGCTCAGGTAATAGGATTAAAGTAAACTTTCAAAGGACTGAGAAGAGGAAATACTGTCTTCTCAGGGGATACATTCTACACAGTAGGCTAGTAAAGATAACCATTAGTGCAGGTTTTTAAGAAATAGACCTAAGTTATAAGGAGATAATCTGTTTTTGGGGGAGTTGTCATTTAATTCATGTTTCACCCAAACTTCATGAGATAAAATTGAAATTAAGAATAATGTCTAAACTTTGTTTAGTGCTATATACTTTGCAAAACACTTTCAAATACTCACATCATTTGACCACTCAATCAATAAGCATTTTTAAGCCTCCAATGTGACAGGTACCATGGCAGGTGCTAGGTAAACAAAGTCAAAAATGAAATAGTCCCCCCTCTTAAGAAGATTGCATACTATCAGGGGAGACAACAAAGATATAAAGAGTGTGTAGAATAAATACAAAATGAATACAAAATGGTTTAGGAAGAAAGGACTCTAACAACTGGGGAGGATGAGGAAAAACTGATAATGTAGAAGGCTGTGCATGGGCTGAGTCTTGAAGGAAGTTGGGATTTCTAGGAGAAACAGGAGAGGGAAGAGTATATTGTAAGCGTGAGGATGGTCAATGCATAAGTATAGAGACGGAGGATCCCTCCAAAAAAACTTTTTAGGAAAATAGAGCAGCTATTATTATCCCCAATGTGCAGCTAAAGAAACTGAGTCTCAGAGAAGTTAAGTGAACTGTCTGAGGTCACATATTTAAATGCTGGTGGGAGATATAAGAGGTCACTTGATTTCCTGACATACTTCAATGGGTATTTTTTTTTTTTTTCAATTCACTACGCTGCAATGGGTAATCCCTAGAGTTAAGAAAAAGGAGCAAAATAGAAAGCCCCCATTTTGGCATTCTCTTCATCCAAACCTCACAGAACTGCCAGCACGTTGCAAACTGGGCCCTGTGAAATTCACCTTGCCTTGCCTTCTGTTGGATGTGCTAAAAATCAGTGAAAGATCAAATGATGGGCAATACAAGGTAAGGGAAGAGAAGCAAAAAACCTATGTGATCTGTATTCTGGAGTAATAGAGGAACACCACTATGAGAACTGTGGATTAATTCTGCCCCCTCAAAAATTTCACCCCTTAAGTCTGTGATAGTGCCTGAAATTTTTCTATTAGAGATGTATTCCTTTGGATCTTAAAGGATTTTTGTCTCCAAAACTCCAGCTTAAAAGGCAGATGCTCCTTTTTTTGGAGGGGTGGGGCTCAGTGGTCAGAGATACCATTGTAAAGAACATGCTTCTCAAGCACCAACTCAGTATCAACAGATTATTAGATGTCTTTCCAATTTTGATAGTCAACTGAGGACAATGACTTATAGGAGCAGGACAAAAGAAGGCTGCCTGAGCATGAGGGAAAATTCAAGGAGCAGAGAGAGAGATACTCAATAAGATGAGAAGGGCCAAAACCAAATTTTTCCTACTGCCCAGTTTTGCCAGGGCTGGCTCCTTGGCAGATTACAGTATTCTGGGCTCTGGCGGCAAAAGTAGTTAGGACAAGATTATGAGGAAATAGATGAGAGAACTGGGGCAAATCAAATCAAATAAAAAAATAAAATAGCTCAATACCTGGACTATTTTATGAGATGAAGATAATGTAGGAAGGATCAGAACCAAGCGGAACAGTGGGCAAAGGATCATCATGTTTCATCTGCCTGTACCTCTGTCTTCTGATTATTGTGCTTTCACTGACTTAGACAAATTGTGTCCCTCTGATATCCTTCAAGATACCAAAACTGCCAGTCTATTTGTTTATCTACATCATGGTGGACAGTAACTCCATGCATATATGAGAGTTGTTTTGGGACTCATCCATGATACTTTCCCCATTACTTTCTTGACTTCCCTTGCTATTCTTCTTAGGCCCTTTGTTTATCCATTCTTTCCCAATTAAGTTAGTACCCATCATCCAATGCATATCAGGTCACTTCTGAATCTACACATTGAAATTGTTTAGTAGCCTTGCTCTTGGAGGTGGCTCAGATATGAAACCTTGGCAGATTCAATACTTCATTGTTGTATTCAGGCCCTATTGACAAAAATGAATTAATAGACTCAACCCACTGGGAAGAGGAACTGCATTTGTCAGAGAAATGCATGGCTTTACAGACAGGCAGTGTCTGTGAGCTATCACTGCCCTCAGTTCCAAGGGCATTGCCTAGACCCCCTTGTCAGACTCTAGATTCTGAGATTCCAAAGCACAAGTGGCTGATAAGCATATGTTCTAAGTTGTCTGCAGAAAAGAATAAGAATTGTGACCTCTTGGCCTACCAGATACCACTGTGCTAGCATTCTTGTGCTCTGTGCTGGATGGTGACAAATCCAAGGACCAAGTGTCAGCAGTGGAAAGGTTGAGTCTTCTCTGGTGACAGCTGTGACATATTCTGATGAAATAAATCTCTCAAATATTTTCGTTGTTGTCAGATTTTTCTACCATCATTTACCTTAACACTTCATATAATCTTCCCCCCAGTGATTGCAACACTTTCTATATTTTACTTGTATTCCTTTTCATTAAAAAAAATTTATTATGCATTGGAAGGAAAATCTGAATTCTCCATCTGGTACCACATTTTAGGTGAAAGGTAGTTATTCAGTAGATGGTAATTATTTTGTCCTGAGGGATTTTCCTTTTGTTTCTGTGCAATAATGTGTACAAACTTGGCTACTCTGAGACTGTATTGTGCATTATCAACTTTTCTTGCTATTTAAAAACTGATAGTTTGTAGATCTGAGGATTTTCATTGATGTAAAGCACAATTTAATGAATAAGTTAACATATTAAACCATTGTGATGTCAAGAACAACTGTTTCCTCCTGTGTGTTTATCAGTGTTTTCCTACAGAAGGAGGGAATTGTTCCTTAAACACTTGAAGGAATTGGTGAGAAATGCATACACATAGTTGGCTCTGTCACACACTAATAATCCACAATTTGGTAGGGGAATTTTAAAAGGCCAAGGCAGAGAAATAATAGATGAGGACAATGTAGAACACCTGAGCCCAGGAAGGATTCCATAAAGATTTCAAATTCACATGCTTCTTAGATTCAGAAAGGATGGAGGAGAGGAAGGAAAAGAAAAGGGAGGAAGTGATGGAGAGTAAAGTGAAAAAAGCAGGAAAACAATTTGCACAATAATAACAACATTATTAGAACAAACAGCCATGAAGACTTCAGATCTCTAATCAATACAATGACCAACCAGGAATCCAAAGGGTTAAAGATGAAGCATACTTTTCACTTACTCACAGAAAGTTATAATTCAAGATGAAGAATAAAGTGTATATTTATGTCCATGACCAACATAGGAACTTGTTTCACAATGTATATTTGTTGCAAATCTATCTTTTTCCCCCCTCTTGCATCAGAGCGAGTGGTAAAGAAAACAAACAATTATTAATTTAAAAACAAAATGACATTAAACTATTTAAAAGAGAGAAATGGGAAGGACTTCCAGGAGCCGAGATGGTGGAGTAAGCAGTAAATCACTATAGCTCTTCCATATTCACTTCCAAATAATCAGAAAATAGTGCCCCAGAATAGGTTGTTTTTTAGCTGAGGAGACTTGGGGGATCAGCAAGAAAGGCCTGTCTCACTCAGGTAAAAGGGGAGTGCAGTCCAGGACAGGAAGCATACCAGCAAGCCAGCAGCAAGGTTCACCTCAGCAAACCAGTGGGAGATCCTGAGCCCCAGTGTGGTGAAGCAGGTAAACACCAACACCAAGACCCCACCCCAAACAAGTGCCTTAGCATAGCCAAGGAACCCAAAAAACTACAGCTCTGAGAAGCACCATATGCTTCAGTATAACCCCAGGCAAACAGGCACCCTTCAACATGACAAGAAAGTAGACAAGACCCAGAGTTGAAGCACAGCTCTAGGTGGGCGGATATCCTTTGGCTGCTAACCTCCTTTTGCTTCAGTGTGGCTATAGGCAAACAGGCATCTTGTAGCATTAGAAGAAACTAGGTCAGCCCTTCATGGGCTTCAGTGTAGCCCTGGGCAAACAGCACTCTCCAGCAGCTTCAGTGTAGCCCCAGGAAAATGCAGAAAAACCCTACTGGCCTCAGCACACATCATACACCACCATTAGAACCCCAGCTCAGCACCAGGTAAGTTTGAAGACACCTACAGTCTCTAGCAGTACCAGCTACACCTCACCCAACCCTTCAATACAGCCCCAGACATAAGGTTCCCCATGGGCCTCAGGGCAACATCATTGCAGCAACAGGTCTGCAGCCGCTGGAACAAGAAGCCTGAGACAGAGTCCCTTCCACCCTGGGAACAGAGATAAAATTTAAAAGAAAGGAAAAAAGCCCTCCAAAAGATGAGCAAAGAACAACAACAAAAAAGAATCTGACCACAGAAAGTTATTTTATGGCAGGAAAGACTGAGACACAAACTCAGAGAAGGACTACAATTTCAAATTGGGCAAAATCCCAAAGAAAAATGGGAAGTGGTCTCAAGCCCAGAAAGAACTCATGGAAGAGCTTAAAAAGGAACTTAAAAATCATATGAGAGAAGGAGAAGAAAAATTAGAAAAAGAAATCAGAGTGATGCAGGAGAATTATGAAAAAAGAGTCAACAATTTGGAAGTAGAATTGGCCAAATAGAAAAGGAGATACAAAAATCCATTGAAGAAAACAACACCTTAAAAAGTACAATTGGCCAAATGGAAAAGAAAGTACAAAAGCTAATTGAGGAAAACAACACGTTATAAGTTAGAATTGGGCAAGTGAAAGCTAATGATTCTATGAGATGTCAAGAAAAAAATCAAACAAAATGAAAAAATGGAAGAAAATGTAAAATAGCTTATGGGGAAAAAAAAAACTCACCTGGAAAATAGATCCTGGAGAGACAATATCAGAATCACTGGAATACTTGAAAGCCATAATCAAAATGAGGACCTGCAAAGCATCTTTCAAGAAATTGTCAGGAAAAACTGCCCTGATGTCCTGAAACCAGAGGGCAAAATAGGCATGGAAAAAATCCACTGATGACCTCTGGAAAGAGATCTCGAAATAAAAACTACAAGGAATATTATAACCAAATTTCAGAACTATCAGATCAAGGAAAACCTACTTCATGTGGCCAGAAAGAAATAATTCAATTATTGGGGGGCCACAGTCAGGATTACACAGTACTTGGCAGCTGCAACATTAAAGGACTGAAGGTTATGGACCATGATATTCTAGAAGGAAAAGGAGCAAGGATTACAACTTAGAATCACTTACCAAGCAAAATTAAGCAGAATACATCAAGAGAATAAAACGATTATTCAACGAAATAGAGAAATTTCAAGCTTTCATAAGGAGAAGACCTTTAGAACTAAACCAAAAATTTGATCTCCAATAGCAAGACATAAGAGAAGTATAAACAGAAAAAGGAAAACAAACATATGGGATTCAATAGAGCCAAAGTGTTTACATCCCTACACAGAAAGACAATACTTGTCATTTAAAAAATTGTATCATTAATAATACTGGTAAAAAGAATATAGATATGGATATAGACATAGATAGACAGAGGGTATGGGTGTAAGGTGAATTTAAGGGAATGCCATAAATAAATTTAAGGGATGAGAAACAGAGAGGTAGACTGGGGTGAATTATTTCACAGGAAGAGGCACTAAAGACCTATTATAGTGGAGGAGAACATAGGAGGGTGGGTGATGAGCATCATTTGAACCTTATTCACATTACTATTTGCTCAAAGAGGGAATCATATACACAATCAATTGAATATGGAAATCTATCTTACCCAACAGGGATGTAGGAGGGGAGCAGATCAAGTAAGGGGTGGAGTAGGGACTGACAGAAGGGAGGGAAGATCAGAGGTAGTGGTAGACAGAAACAAAACACTGATGAGGAGGGAAAGGGTGAAAGGAAAGAGAGGACAAACAGGAGGAATAGGATGGAGGGAAATAATCAGTAATCATAACTGTGAATGTAAACGGGATGAACTTTCTCATAAAATGGAAGCAGACAGCAGAGTGGATCAAAAACCAGAATCCTACAATGTGCTATTTACAAGAAACACATTTGAAGCAGAGAGATACATACAGAGTAAAAGTAAGGAGCTGGAGCAGAATGTATTTTGCTTTAACTGACGTTTTTTAAAAATCAGGGCTAACAATTCTGATCTGAAAGTAAAAACATCACTTAACTCCAATTACCTCACCAAACAAACAAACAAACAAACAAAAAAAGTAAGTGCAAAAATAGACCCAATTAAAACAGATAAGGAAGAAAACTACATCTTGCTAAAAGGTACAATAGACAACGAAGCAATATTAAAACTAAATATATATGTACCAAGTGTCATAGTATCCAGATTCTTAAAGAAGTTAAGTGAGTTACAGCAAGAAATAGATAGCAAAAGTATACTAGTGGGAGACCTCAACTGTAGTCTCTCAGAATTCAATAAATCCAACCAAAAAATAAACAAGAATGAAACTAAAGAGGTAAATAGAATACTGAAAAAGTTAGATATGACAGACCTTTGGAGAAAACTAAATGATAACAGAAAGGAGTATACCTTTATCTCAGCAGCACATGGCACCTACAAAAATATCTGACTGTAATAATAGGGCATAAAAACCTCAAAATAAAATGTAAAACAGGCAGAAGGTAGATGTATTTTTTTGGATCATAATGCAGTAAAATTACATTCAACAAAGGGCAGTGGAAATACAGATTACAAATTAATTAAAAACTAAATAATCTAATTCTAAAGAATAAGTGAGTCAAAGAACCAATCATAGAAACAATCAGTAATGTCATTAAAAATAACGACAACAGTTAGACAACATACCAAGATAGATGCTGAAAAAGTTTTTGACAAAATCCAGCACCCAGTCCTTTAAAAACAGTAGAGGAGCATAAGAATAAATGGAGTGTTCCTCAAAATGATAATCAGTATGTATCTAAAACCATCAGCAAGCATTATCTGAAATGGGGATAAACCTTCCCAATAAGATCGAGGGTGAAACAAATTTCCCCAGTGTCGCCACTATTGTTTGAAATCGTGCTAGAAATGTTAGCTTTGGCAATAAGAGAAGAAAAAGAAATTGAAAGAATTAGAATAGGAAATGAGGAAACAAAACTATCACTCTTTGCAGATGATAAGAAGAGATATTTAGGGAACCTTAGAGCATCAAATAAAAAATTACTTATAATTAACAACTCTAGCAAAGTTGTAGGATATAAGATAAACCCACATAAATCATCATCATTTCTTTATGTGACTAATAAAGCTCAGTAGTAAGAGATAGAAAGAGAAATTCCATTTAAAATTACTGTAAACTATACAAAATACTTGGGAGTCCACCTGCCAAGACAAACTCAGGAATTATATGAACACAATTACAAAACACAAATAAAGTCAGATTTAAACATTTGGGAAAACAGCAATTGCTCATGTGTAGATCAAGCAAATATAATAAAAACAACAATTCTGCCTAAACTAATTTACCTATTCAATGCCATACCAAGCAAACCACCAAAAATTATTTTACAGAGCCAGAAAAATAACAACAAAATTCATCTGGAAGAACAAAAAGTCAAGAATATCAAAGGAATTAATGAAAAAAGAATTACAAGGAAGGTGCCCTAGCAATACCAGATCTCAAACTATATAATAAAGCAGTAATCATCAAAGCTTTCTGGTTCTGGCTAAGAAATTGAGTGGTGGATCAGTGGAAGAGAGTAGGTACACAAGACACAGTAGTCAATGATCATAGTAACCTAGTATTTGATAAACCCAAAGACCCAAGCTTTTAGAGATGAGAATTCA